TTGGCTTTTTTTCTGCAGCTGAGGAAGCTTTTTTCCCTGGAAGTTGCTGCATGACCATAGCTTCCTGTGAAGCTCATGTGGTTATTTTAGCTTGGTTTGTTTTGTGCTAAAGGACACAAGGGCTGGTATTGCCAGAGCCCCCAGAATTCCATTGCCTACCCCATCCTAGCTGCAGAGGTGTTCACGAGTAATGCAAACAGCTACTAGGAATAAGCTGATCGCTCTGCAATGGTTGTCCTCTAATTCCCCTCCTACCTCTAAGCCCATCTGCCTGAAAAAACCCAACGTAACAAAACAAAACCAAACAAACACATACACACACCTGGACCACTGATCAGAAAAAAAATATTCATGCCAGGCTTAAACTAGAGGACACCCCTTGTCCTGATTAAAAACTGAAGTGTTTTACAGCCAGGAGAGATAACACATGGGCAAAGCTGAAAATAGTTGCCACACCACGTTTTTGTTTTGTTACCATGACAGCAATCACCAATATTTTGAAGAGAATGACTGCTCACTGACACAGCATGAAGACAATGGGAAGGTGTGTTTTCTTCACCAGTCCAGGAAGTCTCATTGTGTGTCCATATGCAATTATTTCCTATGATGTCTAGGTGAAGTTATTATTCATCAGAAACAGAACCACAGCTGAGCTGGAGAAAATAAAATCTAATTCAAAAAGGACCAGTGTAGAGATACAGAAGTTTTAGGATTTTGCCTCTTCCAATATTTGCTAAAAGAGGCAGAAATTTAAGGAAAAAAAGTCTCAATATTTCTTGTATTTAAATCCTCTATCAGCTAGAACATAGAAATATTTTGGCAAATAGGTGAGAAATGCCCGTTTTGGCTGCCTTTTCTTTTATGCCTTTGTCAGTGTTAGAATCGAAATCTCTTACTACACTCTACAGCCGGTATAGACCAATTATATTTTGAAGATAACATCAGAAAGAAACTTCACAGCAGTTGGTAGAATTCTTCATGTCTTCCTATCTTAGACCTATCTCCTCCTCCAGAGAAAGAGATATATAGGAAGACCTCTGAATGGGATATCATCTCTTCCAAGAATTCCTGGACAAGAAATGCAGCATGCTGCTGGATTTACAGGTCTCTGTCTTCCTTTCCTCGATCTCTCCAGCATTGTAAATGGTTATGGGACAACACAGCCGACACACATCCTCAGCTGATAATACAGAGAATGCAAATGGCAGAAAAAACACAACTGCAGGCACATCAGAGCTTCAGCAATGCTGTTACTCATCTATAAAGGCATGATAATCATCAGCAACCTGCTTTTTTCCAGGGTATGTTCAAAAGAAGCAAAAACAGGCACACAATTAAGACTGTTTTCTTAAAAACATTGCAAAAGACCTTAGGCATTAGATCTACAGCTGTGCTGACTGCTCAACCTCTGTTTCAACAAGAACTAGAGTGCTGTCATAAGAGTGCTCCAATGACACCATACCATTTCCTAGCAACAATCTATGTTTTGTACATAAAAAAGCAAATGAAATACTGCCTATCAGTGTTTTCTCATTTGCTGTTAAACCTTTCTCCCTCTCCCACGTAAAATAAAAAGTCTTATTTGGACATTATGCAGAACTTCAGACTGTGCTCTGTAATGTAATGAACTGCCAAAGAAGCAAACCTAACATAAAACAAGGTATTTCATGTTATCCAAATTGACCCTTCTGAAAATAAAGTTAGTGCAAGTTCATAACTCCATGAGAGATTCACCAAGTTTTAATCCTGCAATGATGGACTGAACACCCCATAAGCAAATGGAGAGCTGGGCATTCTGCTTCTCACAGGGCTGTTTCTGAGGAGTCTTTCCTTGCAGAAACAGCATCTGGTCTTACTTTCTGATATTCATAGTAATTTCTGATTATTCTGGGAAAAATCATTCAACTGCAAAGTGTTGCCCCCGGCTTCCAAATATTTCTGGCTTTTCTCACTCTCCCACCCCCCACCCCTTTACTTGCAGCCACCACTTCCTGTGTTTAAACACACAATTCACATTTACCGTTACATACACACAAACCCTCCTGCAACACAAACCCAACTCATCTACATAAATGGAGTTCTGCAACAGTCAAGTGAAAGTTTAAATGCACTAGGAATAAATGCCATCCCATGGAGACACCCTAGCTTTCCTTGTGAGGTGGATGGGCTTCTTCTCCCCTCCCCTTATCAGCACACAGATCAGCATTTATAACATGTATTCCAAGGATGGTAGAAGGGCAGAAAAAACCAAACCAGAAAAAGCAGTGCATTTCCATCCATGTGGAAGCAATGGTGTGCAGACTCCAAATACAGTGGCCAGGTAGATAAACAACAGCAAAGCAACAAACACAAAAATGAGTGGCATGGTAAGAACCAGCCCTTCAGTCTGGAACATAGGGGTGGAAAAATCAGGTTATTTCTGCTGGTTAGCTGTTCAGGTCTCATCTGCATAAATGTCTCATAATAGCAATGCATCAGCCAGAAAGCAAAATAACTTCATGGCTTTAAAAATGTCTTTGTGCTTTTTCTTTTTTCTTCTTAAATAAAGAGCAAGGGAGGAACAACAGAAAGTTTTTTTAATTTTATTTTTTACCTAATATTTACAGGTAAATTCTGTCCCTGTACTTGTGTATCTCAGAGAGTGGAATAAAGTTGCTCCATGCCAAATTCTTGTTTACAAAGATGTTTGCTATGTGTACAATACAGTGTCAACATTCCCTTTGCTGCCACTGTCATGACCGTGCTAAAACATGAGTTTGATGATAGACATACAAAAGAGAAAAGAAAAAATCACAGTTATTTAGACCATTTTACATTTTCTTTGATATATTTCTATGTTGTGGAAGAACAGATCTAAGATTTCTCTTAACATTGCTTACATCCTTAGCGCAATACACTTTTTCATACAGCAGTTATTAGAGGGAAAAATTGAAAAAATGCATTTAATTTTCTCAATTTTTTATAGAAACCCTGAGTTGATTTTACCAAACACCCTAGGAATTTCCCCTCTATTTCAATGGTAGCATATTCCAACCAATGGGAACTCACAAAGTTTATTGACATATGGTGCCACCTAGCTAGAAGATGTTACATGTCATGTATTACAGATTTGAACAGAGTGCCATGGACACAGTCGTCTCCCAAATGAACCAAACAGAAAATAGCTATCAAACACACTAGAAAGGAATGGTTTATCTTGGATTAAATAAATAATGATGTATGTTATATAAACTCACAGAACTAAATCAAATTTTTAAAATTCTTAGTATTTAAATAAAACCATAAGATTAGAGGCCTTTACTTGTTAGTTCAAAGCTTTTCTGTGTATATGAACTTACCACCTGCAGAGACAAGAGCAAATAAGACCTAGGGAATTTTTTACCCTTCAATTAAGTAAGGAAAGGACAGGCAAATTTCCTCTTAAGGCTTTTTTGCAAATAAACCAGAATCATTTGGAAGATGCAACAGTGTACCACTGGTACCAGCATAGGCACATACACCAACAACGAAGAGGAGCAAGAGATTCTCTTTTTAGCACAAGAATCAGTAAAAATGCACTGTGACAAACAAGTAACTGTAAGACATTACTTCAACCACTTACTTTAACATTTTAGCATTTTTTACCAGAGACTGCAAACTCAAGAGGTCCAATCTTTCTACAAAATTTAGAAGAATGAGATTTCTCAAAGAAACATGAAAGCTTTTCTTGTGGCATTTAGTGAGCCTAATCACGTGTCTCACTACATTCAGCAAACAGGTTACAAGTCAATGCCACTTTTGAGAAGGCACCACAGCAAAAGCATTTATATTTGCTTCTAGGAAGAAGTTTTGTCCTAAAAGCATTTTTTCCCTGGGGAATGCAGGCAGTAAACCTAGTGAAGGGATTGTCCAGCACCCATGGAACAGCAGTTGGAGATTGCTGTGCATAACTAACATTGCTTGAGGGCCAGATAGGCTGAATAAATAAGCAAACCTTCCTCAGGCACAAAGTGCTCTCTGGTACAGTAATGATGCAAACAACATCCAGCCTTTCATACAACCAGCTCATGGAGCCCATAAAGGCTGATCTACAGAATTTCACAGAGTTTGAATGCATTCTGCCTGAATCCAAGGTGAAGGTATCAAATTAGATACTGCACATTATTTCAGTTTTCAGTAGTAAACACTGCAGTTCAAACAAAAACCAGAACAAACCAGCACATTCTTCTAGAGGGGTATTTTTTAACGTACTCCTGTTGGAATTTTATTCAAGAGCTAAGGCAGGCAATTCAACAGCAAATGCTTCAATAAAGATTTCCTCACCAACTGTAACTATAATTTAGAGTCTATTACAGGAATCAATTTATATTTACTATATGAGAAATCAGAGATTTACTAGAGATCAAAAGCATGTTAGATTTAAAGATACTTTTCAATTGAAATAGTTTTGGGAAGCTGCAAACCCACACAAGGCTGTATGCCCATGCAAATCCTCACCAACAACACTGCCACAGGGTGGCAGATCATCCATGTCACTTCCAAGAACCCACAGTCATGATGTGTCAGAATGCAGGAGCAGCAAAGGAGCCCAAGCACAGTGCCACACACATTCCTAACAACTCCCAGACAGAAAAACCTCACGCTGTTCTTTCTTCAGCACTCCCACTTGGAATGAAACAATCTTCCTATTTAGAATTTATCAAGACTTTACTACCAGTTATCTGACTTCCTTAATGGTTCCTAAAAACTGAGGAGGTTACTAAAACTGGGTTTTTTTGTTTATAGCTCCATGTGGCATGATGAAATTAATCTTTTGAAGCAGCCCATGAATTCAACCCAAAACTCATTAGTATTCCAGACTAAGTATAAGGAAGCAAACTTCTCCCTGGCAAGGACAACAGATGTGCTGTACATCAAAACTGCTTTTCTATTTTTATTAATATTTACAAAATAATGTAAATTCATAACATTTGTCTGCTTGCAAATAGCAATAGTACAAAACCCCTCAATTTCAGCACTGATGTATTATAGAAGTTTTATTTTGGAATTACTGAAAAGCACACCTTATCCAGTATTTTTTTCACCCTATGAGATATACACGTCATATTAAAAAATACAAGTATTATCTTTTCTTTATGCTTCAAGATACAAGGGATCACAAGAACATACATCTTTTTCAAATCCAGGGTAGAAGTTTTGTAAATGAGCATTCTACTGGAACTATCAAGTACTGTTACTCTGAAAATAAATGCTCTCTGCAGTGATTAAAAAAAGATTTTAAAATATGGGGAAATGTTTAAAAAAATTTCTACAGATTATTAGCATTTGGAGATGGAAAACATAATAATGATCCTGATTAATGCAGTTCTTTTTTTTCCTTCCTTGGAGATGTTCAGGTCTTAGCCTGAACAGTAGATAACAGAACAATTATCTACAGAACTCGGTGATAATTGTACTGCAAACATTTAATGATTGTTGTCGTGATTCTGGGAAAATTATCACTTTTCAATGTCTATAAAATATGAATTTTTCTAACACATTATTTGCTGCTTTTCAGTCAAGATTCACACATCAGTAAATAACACTCTCCTGTAACAAACAAAATGAAAGCAGTTCTTGGTATATTGCTAACAACATGATGCACTAATTAGTTTGGGGTTGGGGTTTTTATATGTTTGCTTGTTTAATCCTGTATACATGATAATATACAGCAATCCTCATAGAAAAGAGGACAAAAATGCAGTTTCTGTCATGGACAAAAACTTTATAAAAACATAATACAATTAAAATACAAAATAAATATAGTACATGTCAGATTAGTTACTAGTAGCGTTTGAGGTTTCTGGAGACTGAAGAAATTCATACGGATCGTGAACCATGTCTTGCTGTTCTCCAACACTCAGATGAGAGGGGCTTCCTGTTCAATGTGGGAAAAAAATCAAAACTTTAAAAGTACAGAAAAAATTAAGAGATATTTAAACATATAAACAGGATGGTTATTTCACGTTTTCCTTTTAGACTTTTAAAGTAAGATATCTAAATAATATTTAAACAGGAGATTATGAAAAAGAAATCACAAGATTCTTAGTAATTTAGATAATTTTTGGAATAGTAATCATTATGCTATTACTCTGAGTTGATTACTCTGAGTTAATTATACAAAATGCAACTGAGTATCATGCATCCAACATCTTCTACCTTCTCAGAAATTGTTGAGCAGTATGTTAGCTATCATCCCATCTTATCACTGAATTTTACAGTTGACAATGAAATCCTGTTGTAGAATCCCATTTGTTACTTGAACACAACTATGCTGAAGTAAAACAATCATTATATACACCTTAGTGTAACTGACTGCATCAAATGAAAGCGCTTACAGCAATTACTTTAATCACATCTAATAAAAAAATAGGAAATTACAATTAGGGGTCTTAGTTCAGGAGGTTCAAAGTATGTCTTGTTAGTTATCTCTGCCAGGCATATTTAAAAATTAAAACATGATCAGTCAGCACACTGTTTTATCAGAGTAGTTTCCCACAGAGATTTATCTATTACTGTGTGAGTTTAAACCAATTCCAAATAGAGCACAAGTACTGGAACTTCTGTGACACAGCTAACTTTACCAAGATGATGTTGGTCTCTTTCAGAGGTATTGGAAAGGGAGCTCAAATTGGATGATGGCCGGGATCCCACTCTGTCAGCCTGAGCTTCATGAAGGTCCTGAAGCAGTTTTGTTGTTTCATCTAGATGTAGATGGTTATCATCATGCTCAAGCTCCTTCTTCACTTTTCCTAAGAGCCACCAACCAAAACCCATAATTAGCACATGTAAATTGACCCATGAATTACCAAGTCACTATAAAAAAGTTCTAAACTTAACACAAGCATTGTCTATACCCAAATGATCTCAATCTTGCATTTTTCCTCACACTTCTAAAAAGCAACAGCTGCAGACCTGTGCAGTATTGGAAGATGAAGGAAAGTGCCACAAGGAAATGGCTGAAACTGAACTGACTACCAGTACCTAAAAAACTGTAAGAGCTTAATTTGTCTCCCTTAGCTGTAAAATACCAGATATGGACAGACTGGCCTGGGTTGGAAGGGACCTTAAAGGCCATCTCATTCCAACCCCCCTGCCATGGGCAGAGATACCTTTCACCAGCCCAGGTTGCTCAAAGCCCCATCCAACCTGACCTTGAGCACTTCCAGGAACAGGGAACCCACAACTGACACAACTGTGTCAGTGCCTCACCACCCTCACAGTAAATAACACACTTAGTTTGTGGCAAAACAGAGTCAGCAAGCAGATCATTTAAATATCTAACTCAAAATACAGTTAAAACAGAACATGAAACCTATGGAGGCAAAGATATCCGCACCACAGACGATTCTAAGAACAGTATCTTCTCCAGCGACATTGATTTTTAGTAAGTCAAATGAAATTGTGAAATTGGAAAGAACTGCAGGTATGTGCTAATATATGCTATTCTTTCATATGAAGACCTAAAAAACATTCCCTCAACTTTAAACAGGAAGATAAACTCCTTCCTTTCTCTTTCTTAAATGCTAATTTTGCAAGAATTATCATAAGAAGTAATTTCATAAACTCAGTCTGGAAGTCAACTAATCTAGCAGTATGACTATTTACAGAAAGGCCAAAGAAGAAAATATAAGCAGCTTTCAGTGGTGCATGAAATTTATAGTAAGACTGATATGTCTAAACATTATCTATAAAATGGATATTTATTCATTTTTTACTGAACTGCAATAAAATTAGAGTGAGACAGCATAATCAGAACTTACAATTGCTTTTCAAACTGCACCTATGTGAGAAATTTGTAGAAATCTTTTTTCCCTTTAAGGCTTCAATTCGTTTTGTTGTGTTTCATAATACATAGCTTGGCCTCTTTCACATTCAGAACTAAAAGTACCTTAAAACATAAGCAAGTTGTTTGCTTGGATGACATTTTTGAGGACATTTGACTAACTCAGCTGCCTGCAGAAATGGTAACAATACTTGTCGTGGTACTTACAGGATAACTATCAAAGGCATGTATTTGAAACAGTATCCAAATTCTTTCACACAACTGAAGATAAAGTCTATCCAGTGCCAGAAGTTTCTTCCGACTTTTGTTTTGGGATGTTCGGTGTAGCAATATGATTGGGTTTCACATACTTACCTAATTCTCAAGTTTTAAACTTACCTAAACTTACTTACCTATTTCTCAAATTTTAAAAGACATTATATGAAGCAACATAATTTCTGAGTGAAAGCTTCACACCGATTCTTAAAATTTATATTACAAGAAATACAAGCAAAGCTATCAAAATAGTGAGGTACAAATACGTTTGTTTTCTTCAATTGTACAGGAAAAGTTAGCTTGTATAACACATGGATGTCTCAAAGGAAAAACAGAACAAGGTTTCATTTATTAGCCCCGGACTTTTACCACAGTTAAATGTATATTTATAACTACTTCTCAAACCCTTTTTTAAGTCTTAGCAAATCCTGCTGTCATTTTCTCTAAATGGTACAACTAAACCATAACTGATGTCTTCTATATTTAGATACTTACCTAACGAACTTAACATAGAAATATCAAGAGATACATCTGAATACGGCTTCATGGAGAGAAAGTCCAAGTCAGAAGTGTTACTGTCTCCAGCAGATTCTCCAACCTATTAAAATTCAAGAAACAGAAAGATTAGCAAGAGTGACAAGCTGTGATGTTAACTTCACAAAGTTTAATGCACAAATCCATTCTCTCAGAAGTGTTATTTCAACATCTGAAACTGGAACATCCATAGCCATCGTGGCTAACCTGAAATTCAGAGACAGTTCAAAAAGATGCCTGGACATGAATGGCCAGGGATGTGCACAGTAGTCCAAGTCTTTTATCTCATGATCCAGGACTGCTGAAATTCAATTACACACTCAACTCATCCATGTCTCATGGTAGAACCCTAGCAGGTGGAAGTATTACCAGTATCCCTCATCTTCCCCATATGTGAACACTGGATTTATTGAAACTTTTTGTACAGTGGGCCTCCTTCTTGACAGTATCAGCTGGAACTGGTCACTCTAGTATCTTTCCTATACATTTGGATAATGAAATACAGCCTAAACTTTGCAATTCTCCTTCTTTCCAGACCCATTTCAATATTGCTAATGTAATGGACAAAGGAAGAAATCAGAGTCACTAAGCTTCAAAACCTATTCTAAGGGAAATCTCTGAGGATGCCTGATCCAGCAGGAGAATTGAGACACTCAGGTAAACATATTATCAGATATTATCTTTTAGAAATATGGAAATGAAACCTAGCACGTACATCAAATAACTTAACCAGTCACCTTCTAGAGAAATTCACATCTTTCCACAAAACATAAGGAATATTTATAAAACTATGATTTTTTTTTAGTTGCTATAATGTGATCCATATAATTTTTATGTGAATTGCATGAAATGTAGTGCATATCTCCTGTTATCACAAATAATTTGCAAGATAAAACCAGTACCACTTAAAGAAAGATTCTATTAGTAGCTGCAAAAGCATAAGATATGGTTATTTACCCACACTTTCTAATAGACATTTTCCATGGATATGCTAAAACCGATTAATATTAATGGGGTTTTTTCCAATTTTACAGCAGGCTGAACCTCAAATATTGATCAGCAGGTCAAGTATCTTTTTCAGATTCCTATGTGATCTTTCTGCCTGAGACTTAGTTATGCATGCTGAAATAAGTTGAAGAACACTAAAGCCACAAATGAAAACAGACTGAATATCAGATAATTCTTTTCAGTACTGCAACCTTATTCCAGATAATGTAATTTTAATATTCAACCTCAGATTGTGCACTGAAATGAAATAATGTCTCAATACTACTTTTTTGCTTCTGCTTTTTCCCCTGTTGTTTCCCTCCCCTACCCCCCAGCCATTTTACCATAATCTGTTTGGAAGAATCCAGACAGGTATTGCGCAACTTGTGTTCCTCTTTTATAAGAACTGGCAGAACCTAAATAACAAAGAAATACTTTAGATTTCATAGCTTATATTTACTAAGGATGTTCCCTGAGAATGTTTGTGTAATTTACTGTTCTCCACAATGAGGTTGTGGGCCATCACAGAAAACTGCCATATGCTGTGATGTTTGAGTAGAACCTTCACAAAAAACTAAAGACCAGCTTTTCTCTAGGGCAATCATATACAGTCATGCCAACAATTTGTAACTAACCAGGACAGCCTCTCCAGGAATAAGCTAAAGCCTCTCCTTTCTCATATACTCCACTTATCATTCTTTTCTCTATTACCATACAGAACAGAGGCACACTAAATAAAATAAAGAATTGGAATGTTGCAAGCTCAGAGAGCTGAGTAACTTTCTCTACTTTAAACGCCAAAACACTTTTCCCTGTTAAAATCCCCAAACAAACAAAGTATTACCATAACTTACTTTAACTTCATCCAGTGGTTTTACTGGAATGTTTCGCCTCTGGAATGAAAGAATACCAATAACTGCTTATATTGAACACATGAGAAAGACATCTTTCTTGTACCATCTCAAATATAATCAAACCACACACAACAGGAGGCTAGCTAACTTTTAGAGATAGCTAACTTTTTCACATATCTGTAACATAATTAGAATGCAACAGTTGTTGTTCTGAAATATTTTAATATTCATTTTAACTGATCTTTGAGTCCCCTTATACTATTTCTTCTGCTCATAAACTTTATATTCAAATGCAGTATCTTTGTCATTACTTCAGTAACTTCTGATCACAAATAATTCAAAGTTGTACTTCCAGAGATACTAACTCTTACTCAAATGCAGCAGTACAAAATGCTCAAGCATAGAACACCATGTATATGATCACTGAAACACATGTAATTGTGTAAAATCAGTGTATATCCATATATGTCTCAACTAAACAGCATTTTCAAGTGTAAATAGCCATTGACCATTGGAAGGTCCTCAGAAATTCTCACCTGGAACAACATTCATAGAAAAACACGGTAAAAGGCAAAGGCACATTTTATTTTAATGTTAAGTTGACTATGTTGCATACACACGTTTCTATATGTAGAAAAGTATTCAGAATACTGGGTTTTAACTTTTCGAACTAATCTTTTCCATTTCTTCCTGTTATATGTACCATCTTTTTCCATAGGGAAAAAACACCCAGAAAATTCTAAACAATCATCAGTGGTTTTCATTCCATTGTCTCCTTATTTCCAAACACCACCCACCCTACTCCACTTCTAAGTTGGCAAAAATGTAGCATAATCTCATTTCCACCACACCAAGAAGCCTAAGCACTTTCCATCTTCCCACCCTGCCTCCCTTTCTTTATTCTTCAGTCTTTCAGTGTCAGCATTTTAAATAGCAGACAATTATTTCAAACTACAACTGCCTTTCAAAGTGAAGATAACATGAAATTTATCGTCAGAAAATTTGCAGTTTTTTAGCTTATTTTGACTTGGGAATGCAAACAGTCTCACTAGAACCATACACATTTCTGAGAAAACTCTCTTCTCCAATCTTAGTATGCATCTCTTCAGGAAAGTGCTTTTGGAAATAAGTTAAAAGCTTTCCCTGTAGACACACTACATGAATGTAAAATTTAGCTCTGGAGGGTACAGTGGTAATTATTCTGTTTTTTAACTTTACTTCCATGTTTGAAATAACTAATCCTTCCATGAGAAATATATTTTGCTTTTCAATTAAGAAAAAACCCAAAACTTTAACAAAAGGATTGCAATGTAACTCAGAAGTCTGTATGTAAGTCGTGCCATCAAGTGACAAGGCTGCCCAAACTCCATCCAGTTGGTTGAACCCTGCTATGCTGCATCTCCTGTCTCCTCCTTTCTACATTCACATAGTGAACCACATTGGAGAACTGACTTAGCCACAGGAAAGGATTCCTCCTTCAGTCTCTAATTAATTCAGTTCTCTAATTTGGTTTATAGTTGCTTGAACAGCTAGGCTTGCACTGCTTAAACTGGCAGTGGAAAACAAAGCATCTCACACAGTATTAAAAAGCCAATAGGTTCATTCTTATTCTGATGAATTTGTGACACTTCAGTACACCCAGGACACACCTGCTTTAGCTGATAAATAGTTTTGGAATGGTCACCACTAGTGATCTGGTCCAGAAGATCATCAACTATTTTCTTGCTGTAACTTCCAGCATCCTTCACAAATTCTTGTAAGCTAGCAGGAATGGAGATAAGCATTACAGAAAACACTTACTTTCATAAAAACTACTTCAACTTAAAATGTTTTCCCAAATACACTGAGTTACATCTACATTTTCTTTTTCCTTTAACTCTTTTATGCTTCTTCAGGAAAGCAATTAAGGTGGCCAGGACATATAGCTTTTTCTTTTACTTTAATAGCAAAGTAGGTTTACAACTTGTTTTTCACAAGTACCAGCAAATTTTGTCTTGAACTATCATAGATGGTAGGGTAGTGGGTTAAAAAGCAAAACACAAAAGATAAAAAGCTTGAGATTATTTCTTTCCCTCCAAGATCAACAATTTAATGTTAAATGGCATTTTTCTTTTCAAGTAGCATTAAATCTTTTGAAACTCATAGAAAAAACATAATTGTTTTAAAGCCACTGAAATATATTACTTGCCTTTTAAAATTATTTACTGCTGGGTAACACTAAATCTGTGGCAACCTATAATATACTGTGGTTGAAGACCCTAATAAAAAGATCCATAACAACTTTGCAATAAAATAGAATAGCTTAAAAGGCCAAATGGGAAAATCCCCCAAAACTTTCCCCACCTCCAAAAATCCAAAAGTAAACAAACAACAAAAAAAAAAAAAAAACCAAGCCAAGAAGGATGAAAGCCTAGCTTCAAATTTTATAGTGGTTTATTTTAACAATAAGTTCTAGAAAAAAAAAAATCAGGATTTGGAGGCTCTTAGTTGAGATCTAGTTTAAATTTCTTTGCAAAAAATTGCTATGAGAAGGTTGCCTTACCTTAAGGCACACTGGATCCCAGTTTCATCACCATATGCTGAGTATAGAAGCTCTATCTCATCTGGTTTCAGATCATGAAATATAGAGTTGTTTTGCAAAGAAGGTGCTGTATTGGCACTGGTAAGAAAGGTTACTATACAGGTAAAAGACATAACAAATTATTAGCACAAGTGTCAAAGATGACTTGGGGGAAAAAAACAAAGATTGTATTTTCTGAAACAGATACAGAAAGTGCCATGTAGTTTTTCCTCCAACTGAAAGCAAGAGCAGTGTCTCAAGGACACTTCCAGACTCTAGAATCAGCACTATTTTAACCATATAAACAAACATACTACTGAAAAATTAAGAATTAAGTTATCCACCCCATTCCAAGAAGAAAAAGGTTCACGGTCACATTCCCTTCTGTATTTCTACAGTTTGTGTGCATCTACATGTTGGTTGCCAGTCAGTTTCTGGACAGCAGATTAGAAACTATTAAAAACTGTCAATAACATCAGGAAAAAAAAATCCAAAGCCTGCAAAATCTTTGTCAAATGTTGCAAAAATGCAAATGACTGGAAGTTGTTTTTCAACCGTAAGTGCAATTACTACAGAAAAATTATTTCCCCCAGAGGAAATGGACTACCATTATTGGAAATCTTCTAGTGTGGCTATAACACTACCGTAAAATATTAATACATAAACTGCTAATTAAAGTATGTTTAATAAGCAAAATATTCAATTTAATAAAAGCTGCATTCTGCTGTTAATGGAATTATTATATATTATTTTATAACTAAGCAAACTTTCATAATATAAACAGGTATATACCAAAATGATTTTATATCAAGTAATTGCTTGAATATTTAATAAACACAAAGTTAAAACATGGTCTTTGGTAATTACCTTTATTTCTTCGTTCATCTTTGAAGCCCAGTGTAGTGAAGCCAGGTAATAATTTGCTTGACAGTGAACTCAGATCCACTGGGTGAGTTTCTTCCTCTAATAATTTGATTTAAAAGAAGGCTTAGAAAAGCATTTTGTCTTTACAATTTATGACAAGTAATTAGAATTTGCTATTTTAGAGCTGTAATTAACATAAAGACTTAATGTTTTTTAAACTGTACATTAAGGGTAGGTACTGTAATTCAGGTTCTTCATTTAAATTTTAACCTCAACCTATAAATATGCTTCCCTGTCATATTCACAAGATCTATGGCTTAAGTTATTTCTTAATAACTTATTTCACTTTTAAAGTATAGAGTAGCATCTGTAATTATTTTAGTAGCCAATTTACAAACCTTCCATATCCAGATATTACTGAAGTGATAAAAGCAGTCTCTTACAGTCTCTTATGTTGACTAAGGGGTTGTTTGTTTATAGAAATTCATTACCATCACACTTTAAATTGTCAGTGGCATAATTTCAGAGGCATTAAATCACTTTCTTTAGAAATAGGTAATAGGCATGAGAGCAGCCAAAATGCTCAGAAAAATTCCAGAAAAATTTACTACCAGATGAAAAAGAATTTAGCAGGCTTGCATCTCTCAAGGTGATCAGTCAAAAGCATTTATATATTCATCAGTGAAACAAGAGGAAAGCTGTAAAAAAATTCTAATCTTGAAAAGTGCAGAGAAGGAAGTGCTAAATCAACATGATGATTCAAAAAACTATGGCATTTTATTAATTACAAATTTTCAATACTTCTGCATCTTGAATGGAAATTAAAGCAAAGGGAAAGCATAAAACAATATAAATACCATAATAGTAACAGAACAACAACAATAAAGAAAATATCAAGGAACTAAAGAAAAAAAATTGAGCAAAATCTCATAAACTTAAAACTGAAATTTAGCTAATGATTGAAATAAGGTAATAAAGAGGGAAAAGATTATTCCAAATTTGCATCTGTGCATTGCACATTTACATAGAATTGCACCATCTTCATTAACTTTTTGTCATTAGGTATTAACACTACAGTGTTCTTGTAGTAAAAGCTTGTCTTCCAAGCTCTTTGTAAAGTTGTAGGAATGTGTAAGTGCATATAAGGAGGTATTATTTTATCTTCTCACTATTGGCATCAGTAAAACAAAGCATCTGAAGTGTAAAAATAGGGAAGGCAAACAGAGACACCTTTGGGGTGTTTGGGGAAATGGCTGGGGAAATAATGAAAAGAATGAAATTTTTTGAAAAATAAAAAACAATTTAAAAACTCATCTATATTAGGATCTGTATCTACAGTTAAGACTTCAAAATCTCTTAGAACATTTAAGACTAGAAATGTTTGCTTCAAAGACTGTGGCTTTTACCTTCTGCTTCTGGATCAGATGAATTTACTACACTAAACAATAAAGTTCCATCTCCATTTTTTTTCAGATAACCAATCTGTGGACAGAACCAGAGATACAGGAGGAATCATTCAAAACTGTTCACACTCAAAGAAGGAGCTGCCCATTTACAGAGAGAACTATAAAAAGCATTTATAGCTGTATTGCATTGCACTTTGGTATTCCCTTTTTCATACAGAGAACCCTGGGTTACAACTATTTTATACCACTTAGCCAGTGCTTCAGAACAGATTTAGGAGAAGTTCATACATCATATATACAATGTCCTATTCATCTTTCTAAGTCAGATCTAAAGTTTATACCCAAGACAAACCCAATTCCATTGTCATTAGCACGGAGCCAGCCTTTCTGACTGCAAAGTCCAGAACACACATTCTTTTTAGAAGCAGATCTGTAACTTATCCACAAACAAAGTCACTGCTTATTTTCAAATATAGACTGAACTGCTTGTTTTCATGTCTCACCCACAACTTTCTCTAATGAGAAGTACTTTTATTAACACACTACCAAATTCTTCAAGAGGAAGAAGTGCTGTGACAGACCTACTGAAGCAGCTGAAGACAGATGTGAAAGACAACAGAGCACAGCAGGGTCTATAAAGTTAGAGCCAGATCTGATGCAACAAGCAAAGCTAATGTCAGAAACTAACTACACATGAATTGAGAAAAAAAACATTGTAACCTCTCAATATAAAGGGAAAATGAAAACTGTTCTCTCACTACAAAAATATTAGTAAATACTTCTGAGGAAATGAACAATAAATCTCTCCTATTTTGTTTTCTATCCCCTTCCATCCGAAAAATTTTAAAACTCTCTCCGTACAGGAGGCCAAAGCTAATACTGGCATACAATAAAAACAGAGGTGAGAGATGCTGGAAAGAGAACGAACAACATCTTCAAGTGATGGCAAAAGTTAACAAGAGCTGAATTCCAAGAACATACCAGGGTTACTGAGATTCAGTGGGACATGCAGTGGGGCTGCCAAGCTGACTTAACAGCCTTAGCAACTAAGAGCTGCACACCTTGAGAAACTTCCTTGAACAGTGCAAAACTGACTGAATCACTCAATGGTATTGCTTTGAAGGGATTTTAAAAGCCACTCTACTTTGGAGGTTTCAAATAGACTTCAATTCTAACAAGTCTTCTCATTATCCAAAGAAACAGAAATACATTTCAAACTAAGCCTCCACCCACTACTCTTTGCAGTTTTATTTCATAATCCAGTTGAGCCTAAACTGACTGCATAATCAGGGCCACTGCCCAAGAAATGGACATTTAAGTATGAAGACACAACATCACTTCTGCTTCAAAGTAAAGTTTCTTCTGCAATAGTTTTTTAAAGAGGTGGAAAATGCAGATGTGGACACATCCTGATTCCTTTCTCGACTGCAGTGACCACTAGAGTGACAGATGAGAAATGGGAGCAAAGGTGGGAATAAGTGTCCATAAAATTCAAGGGAAAGAGAGAAAAGGGATCTCAGTACAGATCTGTAGCGAATGCCTGGAGCATTCACTCCAATCCTAGCACAAGGAAATGACAGAATCCACCACTATCATCACAGAGCTAAAAACCCAGAGCTAAAAAAAAACCGATCCTTCAGAGAAAACGGCACCAACAGCACCACCAAGCTTGTCCTTGGAAGAGCACAAAACCCAAATACATGGAATAACATCAGCATCACATTTAGGACTGTAAAACTTGCTATCTAAACCTACTCAATGAAAGATCTTTGTATTTGGTACTCATGCTACAGCTGACAGCTACTGTTTGTAAATGCAAAACTACAAGACTTTACAAACTCTCCTCATTAAAACCAGTAATTTAACACTAAAAGTATGTCAATTCCTGGGGGGGAAGGGAGGGGAGAGAAGGGGAATCCTAATAGTTCTTCAACCTATGCTGTAGCTTGCTTTTTCTGAGGTTGCAACAATAAGAGAAGTGTGATGTTATTTTAATCACTTTCAGTGCTAAAGGCTGCAATTCAAGATGGAACATTTCACTGTTTCCTGTAAGTGAATTTCCAAAGAGAGAACCTGAGATTGACTTAGGACCCCTTACAGTGGCTTTCAGTGGCAACTAAAGATAGACAACAGCAGTATCAGTACACCACACAGAACACACATCCCAGATGCTCCAGTCCCAGGCAGCCTAACAGTAAAGTCTGTTTCCTAATGTGAAACAAAACATTCAAGAGTCAGGCACAAACTGGAACTGCAAACTGCCATGTGCAGTAGACCTTGCTGTTGGGTAGATATCGATTGATCCTATCCCGAGCTTCATCTGCTGCATGTTCCACTAGTGCCAGGACATGTTCCTCAGCAGTGCTGTCTGTCAGGCTGCATGCATTCCCCTCAGGTTCAAAAATGCAGCTAAAAAAGAGAAGAAGAGGAGCTGTAGCAATTAAAAGCTAAAACAAAACAAAGGGCTGAATTCTGGCTTTGCTTAATAGAGCAATCAGTCCCACTCTTCTCCCAGTGTCAGTCTACCTCAGCACTTAAGTGGAATTATAATCATTATAATCATATAATCATTACAATCATATTATGAAGTTTTGTAGCAGAAGCTGTGAACTACAAAACTACTGATTTCAAAAATGTAATTGTTTCTGTATCCTGATGAAAATAAAGTATAAAATGAAGCACAAAACAGAGATTGGGAGTAGAACTGGCAATTATACAAGGTGAATGCTGTATGCATCCTTAGTCTCCCGCATGCACGTATACACTATTTTCAAAAATTACAAACAGGAAGATGCAGAAAATAAATTATGTAATGAGAGATAGAAACTGCTGCTTATCAGAGAAAAACCTAACAGGCTGCATTTATGATGATTATGTCATATAGCTGCCTTCAGAAGTAGGACCAAACTCCCAGTCTAAAAGGGAATCCTATAATTCCTATGTTTTCAGTATCGGCGGTTAGCATTCCTAACCTGTATCAATCACAAAACTGCTTGTAACTGAAATTACAGAATTTATCTTTCAGTAGATCCCTTTTCATTAGAGCTCCAAACCAATAAAGTCGTAGCAAATAAGCATACCCAAGGATGGAACAGGACATAGCTATCACATAAAATCAGGAAAAGGCAGTATCATAAAAAGAAGTGTGAAGATATCATAGAATATGGCAGTCTTCATTATATTTTATATATAAAATACATGTTGTAAATCAAAGTATTTCAGGGCATTATATGGACATTAGACACTAGGGCCAAACACCTTAGGTACTGGGTAGAGCATCTCCTCACACCAAATCCATTTCTCTCTCCTGGGTTATCTTCTTCCATTTGCTTAGCTAAGAATTTCTCTCTGTATAGAGATTCAGATCCGATACACAAGTAAGTTTTGCTATTAAAGACAATAAAAAGATCACAGGATCACACTATTACGAGACAAATGTGTTATACTATTTTGTTTCATCGAAACTTTAAGAAAGGGTGTACACAGCAGGAAACTCCTCAACAACTCACACTTTCTATCACACACTACAGAATACTTAAAGGACAAGAATTTTGAGAGAATGTTCAGAAGATTGTAACATCCTAAAAAAAATTTTCAAAAACTATTTAAACATTAGGATGTTCAAGTGATCAAGTCACTTTTTCCTCTATATAGAGGTCTAAACTGCTTTAACACTTTGTAAACATTGACTTCAACTCCTCTGTTTGTAACCATAAATATGAAAGCAAAAATATCTGCTATTAGGTTTGATTTTCCCCTCTCAAGGTCTTATTCTTCATCAAAAAACACAGTATCAATCCTACAGATGCAAAAATACAAGTATTTAAAAGTTCACGTTACTTAGAAAAAAACTAATTTCAACTACTAAAGTTACACAGATACTGAGAGGAACAGAAAAGTAGATTTATACTACATCTGATTGCTGATAAACTGGTACCAGGATGTATGTTAATGTAGATGGCAGTCTCAATTTCTTGTTCTGTGACGAAGGACAAAGTTACTTTTGTGGTAGAGTTTATGCAAGAATTAGTGCTGGACACCACACAAACCAAATTATTTTGTCTTCTAAAAAAACAGGAACAACCAAAAACCAAAGCACCTACCCCTCAAGACTTTGAAAGGTGCTTTCAGTTGAATTCTATCCACAATCCATTAAACAAAGGAGAAATTATACCTTCTCAATTCTCTATGATACAGGAAGAGATTAGTTTCTGTATGTTATCATCAGAATAGCTTCCACCACAGGTAATTACTGTTGAAAATTATTTTTGAAGATACATGTTGCAGTCTTCTATTTCCAAAAAAACCCTAAATCAGAATACCACTTCTTCCATCAGCAATAAGGATTACAAAAATGCTGGAAGTGTAAAAAATGAAAAGTGGCTCATGAGAACTGTAAAGCTCACTTTTTAAAAAAAATGAAACAAGGTATATTTCACTTTTGTTACTTTGAGGATTTAAAAAGAAACCTGCAGAACATATCTACATGATCAGATTATTTACAACATGACTAGTGGTGCCCTGTTGCAATATTTTTCCCCACAAAATTCCAACTGGTATAATGCTTTACAATTTAAATTCAGTCTATCTTTGGATGCCTATGCAAGAACACCGAATAAGATAAGTTGCTTGTATATCATGGTTTCTGCTAAAATCTCATAAAATAAATTTATGAAATTCAGATTAAAAAAATTAGATTATTAGCATTAGATTTTAGTTATAAAAAGATGAATTTGTAACATGGAGGTACCTATTAGCTGGAGGATTACTATTGCACTAGCAATGTATTTTACCACTAAGTTAAGTAAGATTTCACTGGGGATATGTTATCATCTGCTCCAGAAATAATCTCCTGTACTTTCATAACCTGCCAGACAAGGTTAAAGTTAAATAAAATCACTCACTGATCTGGGGCCACTTTGCCCTCCTGGGAAGAACCTCTTACACTTTGATGAGACTACTTTAGGAAAGGAAAAAAAGGAACAAAATGCAAAAGGTATTTGTAGCTATACCCAAAATAACATTTTAAACCATCATGAGAAGAAACCAGTCATTATTTAATACAGATATAAAGAATGAAAACATCTCTATAGATATTAATTTTAACTGTTTGAAAGAATACGCAGTCATCTTTTGAATTGTTTGCTTCAAGTTAGGAATCACTGGGTTATCAAACAGGTTCTATAAATAAACAAATAAAATCCAATAAAATTGCCCACTTATCCTATGGACCTCAAGGAAAAATGCCAAGTTTTTTCCCTCAGCTCTTTCCTGCTGTGTAATGCTACGAAAGCTGCAACAAACCACTAAGCATGCCTATTAAAACCTTTACCTAATAACTTCTTTATTTTGCTTTTTGGATTTCTTGGTAGTCTCTGCTTGTACAGGAACAACTTCAGGAACAGGTTCTTCAACTGCTATGTCTTCATCGCCCAAAAGAGCTGCCTGCTGAGAAAAATCCATGTCCTGCATAAACGACATGCTGCGCTTCAAAGCTAACAGCCGTTCCTAGAATCAGAAAGGACAGAGCGGCAGGGACTTAACCTTTCCCTCATAGCCAAGATGCTATGATAATGGGATGGGATGGGATGGGATGGGAATGGCCATGGCCTTATTTTGTTCTTAATCTCGTTTCCAATGGCGATGCAACATGATTTGGTCATGGTAGCATGGCATCAGAATTTCTGCAGCCCAACTATCAAGAGAGAAACAAACAAACAAACTGCATATGCAAAACCAACTATTTTACACAAAACTTACCATCACTGTAAAACATGCACACACACACATTTGTGCACACACAGAGCAGCTCACAAAAAATCCTTCATTTGACAAGCCAACAACTGTATCTGAGTAAAAAGTATTAGCTGAAAACTCCCCAACACCTTCAAAAAAGTAATGCTTTCTTGTTTACACAGAGATAAAACTTAAATGAGATCTTGCTTCCAAAAGTTTCAGCCCGAAGTAGGATTTTTCTATAGAGTTGCATATATGTGGATTCTAACTGCTTCCACTGAAATAAGCTCTTACAGACTTCAGTGGTGCAGGTAAGGTTGAGAAATAAGTAAAAATTACTGGGTTATAACAAAAATGCCATCAAGCCCTTAAATATAGCAGCACTAACTGGCACTGCTATAATTCATCACAGATGGATGAAACATTTACCATTGTTACTTTGTCCCTTTTAAGTATGGTAACATAAAAACCTCCAAAATTTCTGCTTTTTGTTTTTAATTGGTCTCTTACTTTGCTCATCATCTTAAAGCCTGTGTGCAGTATCTTCTTGGCTAGCTTGTAGTAAACAGTATCTGGTCTGTTGTAAGTCATTGCATTATCACACATCAGTTTAAAATCAGCCTGTAAAATACAAGACAAAAGAACTGTAAACATTTCAGGTCCTTGGTTAAATGACTGGAAGATATCACTCCATCTTGGCAGCTCTTTGAAGAACACAGCAATATTCTAGGAGCAGGCTCATAAACACAAACCAAAAGCAGAACTGCAAAGGTTTGAGCCTCTTCTACCTCTCCAAGATGCTCAGTTTCCTTTGGAACAGGCTTTTGGTTTTAAAAACCACTCTCTTTCCTGGATGCCAAACATAACAACTTCTCTTTAACCAAGTGGACCAAACGGACTAAATGGACCAAACACTAGACCGAGCTACCAAGGTGACTTTTTACAGCATTACAAGCCCTCTGCCTTCAATTATCAAAACCATGAAAAAGGCAGAAATTGAGAGGGTGACATGGACAAGCAAACTATGGCCCAAGAAGCAGACAAAGAAGTGCATGTAAGCTACACTGCCAGTGATGGCCTTTCAAGTGCTGCAGAAACAGCCAGTCTTTTGCTTGCCCAACTTTGAAGCAGATCCTTTTTTTACTGAAGCAAAACGAATGAGTGTTCTGCAGAAATTGCCCCTCTTTTAAATGCAGGACAGAGTGCTTTCAGACCCTACTCTTAGACAGATTATTCATTGTCTTGTGACTAGCCTCAGCTAGTTATATCAGACAGGTAACCTTTTGAGCAGACTTTGTTTCAGAGGTTAAAAACCTACAAACTTTATTTCTGTATTAAGGTTATGGCTCTGTAGTTCTGTGTAATTAGGTACCCTCATGTATCTAGTAAGGGAGTCCAATTCCTTTTTTGCTCTAACATGGGCAGACTTTTAAGAAAACTTTTATCACTCCTCTGACAACCAGCAGAAGCTAAGTCCTTGAAGAAAAAAAAAGTCAGTCTAAAAAATACTGCCATTTTCTTTTTTTTTAGGTTTCTATCCCACCAGTTTCAATACTGCAACCTTGCCTGTTACTTAACAGTTACAGAGCTTCCTATAAATCTCTATAGCATATTTAACAAAACAGGGTAATAATCTTTGTCAAAGCATCTGTAAGAAATGTAAACCATTCTTTGCTCACCTTGCCGGACCTTTCAAAAAAAAGAGATTAACCCTGAGAAATAAGCCAATGCTCTCTTGCTGAGGCTACCATCATATCAACATCGGTCTAGGAAAAAGCAATTCCAAAAGCTGCTAATAATTCATGACCTTCACAAATCAGTTAAAGAAAACTCCTCTCCTTCAGGAGGTACCAATACTATGAAAAAATTTCTTACTGCACTGTCTGTGAAACCATGATGTATCTAATAAATTATTTCAGAAAAAACAATATGATTAATAACTAAGTTAAGCTGCAAATAAACTTGCCAAGTAAGTTTCTGCCAGAAGACAATTTCAAATGAAGTTATATAAAAACCAGAATAATTAAAGATAAAAAATATGTAATTGCTCTTTAGTCATATACAAGATGCTCCAGTATATCTGCAGGTTTCTTGCAGACAGGTCCAAATTACATTTAAATCAATCTAACAAGGTCTAGATTAAAAAAAGGAAAAAAAAAAGCTCAGTGGTTTAAGTCTTGGTGATAATCTTACTCCTGTCGAAGTTTAGCAAAAAACTAAATTCCACAGAACTTTAGAAGATCTTCTTGGTTTCCACAGTAATTTATAGAAGATTGTAGTAGAATATGACAGATTATTTGTAACACACTGAATATACAAAAGTGCTCAGTTCTGAAAAAAATGAGCATTGATTAATGTAACAAAGGCTTCTGCAGTTAAAAACAATGTTCAGTTTCTTACTAGTTGTGAAATATCTAAATCTTTATTAATTCACCTTGAATTCAGTGACTGATTTGTATTCATTTGCTGCAATTTTTTCCTTCATTGTACCAAAATCCATAGGGTGTTTTATTATCATGGAATACCCAGGAGCAATGGCATCCGTGACTGGAAAAGCAAAAAACCCATGAGGATCTTTCCTAAAAATAAAAACAATAAATTTAAATTTACAGCAGGCAACAAAACAATCCTTGCTTTTGCATCACATTAATAACACAACAGTACTACTAAAAAACCAAAAACTACTAAAAACATTCTCATAAAATAGATCCATGTTTGAAAAATTTCCTGATAAAGGAGAGCATTGTAATTTCACATATGTAGACTTATTTTAAAAAGAAATTCTTGAAAATTTTCATTAAAAATGTCTTTCAATTCAATTCTATGATCAAATGGTCAATTCAAGATAGTTCACGTATTTCTTAATTAATTCTTGTATTTTTTCCGTGTCTCTACATTCCAACTTGGTCTTTTGGCCTCTTGTGGAAAAAGCTCAATTCTTCTTGTTCATAAGGTCCTCTAAAAATAAATACGTTTGATTTTTTTAACTGGTTCCAAATTCAGCTTAGTGCTACAAAATAAAAAAGGAATTTTTTTTTAAACATGAGGTGCAGGTTTAAGAAAACAATAAAATAAAAAGCCTCTCCCAATTCAGAAGATTATCATGTAACCAGGTCCAAATTTGCTTTGTATCTGACAGTGGACACTGAATAAAATAAAATTTAACTAAAACAGTCCAATCTTTTAAAGTAATGTAGAATTATAACTGGCTTTTAATCTCTAAACTAAGTCATTAATATTTAATAAATTTATAATGGCAATGTATAATTTGCCCAAAACACTTATTTCCCTGCACAATGTTAGAATTGCAAACTTGGTAATAATTGTCCTCAACTTATCTTTAAAAACAACCAGGTCTGACATGGTTGCAAAGGTTAACAAATATCTTACAGTCAGTCACCAGGCACTACTTTCAAACAGAAAACCAGGATATGAAGTTGCCAGGTAACACATACAAATATGCACCAGACAGAGCCTACACAGTTGAAGATACAAAAACATTTACTACCTTTGAAGCTGGCGAAGGAAGTGTTCCAGTAATTGCTGGATTGGTGTGCTCTCATTTTCAGCTGCATTTTGAGATGAAAACCCAGATAAGTGCAATGAAACCACATATGCAGATATTTTTTTTATTTAAAAATATAAGTACCAGAGAGAAAATCTCACTACAAGTACAGCTTGTACTGATCTGAAGCCGAATGTATGAACATGGATTTCAAAGCAGAAGCACATCAGGTATCTAACACACAGTACCTTTTTTTTCTTCCTTCATTTTCTGAGTTTTTTTTCTTATCATAGTAAAACCTAGTACCCATTAAGTCAGATGTAGTGCTAAATTTAGCAGCTCTAAGAATATGTATTAATAAGATTAAAATAATTACATTATATATTTCTGCAGAAAAAGTGAAACTTGGTTGCTCAAATACTGCAGTTGGGAAATCCATATTCTTACAACATGTTCGCTGTGCAATTTTCATGGTTTCAGCATAAACTCCATGCAATTCTATAAGCCTTTTAATCACAGAGTGACAAACAGACACAGCTTTACTGGCAAGAGAGGCAACAACTACAATTTCACTTCCTGTACAGATCACACAAGAAACACTACATGTTAATGACCTGTTACTTCAGAGACTGGCTTTAAGTGACATTTGAAACATTAATGAAGCATCAAGAATTGAAAATTCAACTCTCCCTGACAGAGGAAAGACATTTCTTTCTTAAGCAGAATGGGTCAGGTAATTTATATGCTTTCCAATACCATTTTACAACCAGATGAAAAGAGAATAAAATGGGAATAGTTTTTATCTTGTCAGTTTTTAAGGCTCCTGACTACCCAGAAACATAAAACTCTGATCTGAAAATTTCAGTTACTTTGACAGCTGACGGCCACTATTCCTCAATTTAATGTGTGGTCACAATTATAAAATTCCTTCGGATTACTTGACTAGTCAAAGGGCAGTATTCCAAAGACAAGACTCACAATATTCCTAATGACACAATTTTTTGCTAGTAGGTTCCATTTTCAGGCTTATGTATAACTGAGATCACGATGTAATTGAAAATTCTCTAAAGTAAAGGTTTCCACTGAGCAATGCTGAGTTTTAATTATCAAGCAATGACAACTGAAGAAAAAGCAAGGCAAAATCTCAAAAGATCAAACATGCAGAAGTTGCCACCCACAACTGACAAATATTCTGGCTGGTGATAAGAATTAGAGAAGATTTGTAAATTAAAAATAAGACTGGTATGTGGTGTCTACAGTCTTTAGAGATACACTATCACAACTTCCTTTCCATGAGAATAGAGATGCTCCACATAGGTTAGAAAGCCAAAAAATATAAAAACAACACCTAAGAAGTCTCCATGAGAGTTTTTTCCCTTGAAATAAATGAAACTTAGTTTCAGGCATTCTGATCACTATGGTGTAAATGCTAAGGAGAAGGAATCAGGGGAGCACTATGTGTAACACCTTCATAATGAGGTTTACCCTGCCAAGGAACAGAGGCCAGAAACAGATGTCCTCAGCAACATCAGTGATCTGAAAATAAACCTACTAAAACATGGAAGCACCAAGAGGAATATTGACTTTTCAGAGAGCAGAAAGTTCTGGATGTTGGAAAAAGTCAAGTTCCTATATTTCAGTAAATCTTTACAAAAATTTTATCTTTGACAAAAGCTTTGTTTTGTGTGCTTTTAAAAAGAACCAAAATAATTTAATCTTTCACACTGTTCACCTGGCTGAGTTCTGCATGCTCTGACAGGACGATCTGGAGGAGGTTCAACCTCCACCTTTTTCCCAGGATCAAAGTCATCAGTTTCTCCTTCAGTGTCACACTGTTCCTTCTCCCTTTTCCTCTTTTTCTCTTCCTAGGACAACAGAGAGAAGACATATTTTAGAGGGATGTGCAATCCCACACATCAAAAGGCAAGAAACTGCAATGTTTTTAATTTGGAATACTCATTCAATATCCAAGTCATAATACGGTTTAAACAATATTGCATATATTTTCACTATCACTTCTTCAATTTTCTTCTCCAATTAAAACTGTTCATCTTTTGCTACTTTGTACTTGATAAAGTATTGTTCTATCATTCTTGCATGTTTATTGAAAATAAAAATTCTGAAGCTATTCATATGTAAAACTGCATGATAATAAGCTACACCAGAGAGCAAAGAAAGTTAATTGACTATTGAGTAAAGATCAATCTGTGGCTCCGCTCTCATCAATGTATTTTTGTTGTTTGTCACATTAAACAGAAATGAGTAAAATATATGACAACTCAGCCAACAAAAGAACCATAAAAATCAGTGGAGGCAATTAATGATCTCTTTCTGAGTTTCAAAGCAAAGGAACATCTAAGTCATTCCTGAAATTCCACAATCATTATCCACATTTGCACAGAAAAGCACACTTTCATTAACCTTCCTTAGCCTATTGTTTGATTACTTAAAGATCCATTGGCTTATTCTGAATGTATTAATCATGAAGTTCTGTGAAAAAAATCCAAACAACCCCCATCCCACAAAGTAAAGGCAATTGATACTGCAAAATCTTGTACATTTCAAGTCCCAGCCTGAAACATCTGTACTAAGAAAATTGTGCACTGTCTGTGCTGTATTTAAGAGCTTCTGAACGATCCTAAAAGATTTTTTTGTTAGGCTTGTATTACTTGGAACTGATAGATGTTAGCCACAAACACACACAAATTAGCACCAAAAAAACTGTCACACAAGAACAGTAAAACTACATGACAGGAAAGAATTAAAAAAGCAGAAAGGTCAGAGAACCATTATTACACAAAAGAAATACTCTTAAAATTGAATTGTACAAGTAACTGTGCTGTCAATGCCTCACTATTGATTTTAAACAAACTCCCCAATGCTCAACACAGACAACTAAGTTGACCACCCTACTTACTACTAACAAAGTCACAAAGCCCAGCACACAGATTATTCCAAGAGCTAACGATGTAATATACCACAGTACTCAAGAGTTCAGAAGCTGTTTTGAGTAAACATATCAGTGTCCAGTAACTTGGCACATCTCCAAAATGTAAGCACAGCCTGGAATTGAAAAGCTGAAAATACCCCTCCCTAAAACAGTAGCAAAACATGTTTGTGAACAGGCCAAAATACAAAAGATCCAACTGAAAACCAGAAACATTTATTCAAAGCAAATAAGTAAGGAAAATAAAAAGTTATAAGAAGGAAGCTTTTACTTTGTTCATAGAATCATCACAAAAGGTATCCTGTAAATAGCAGAAGTACACCAACTCACACACAAGGGTTTTCTACATTTCTGAAATGCTATCTCCAGACAATAAGCTTCTTGTAACAGTGATTCAAACAAAGTTCTGCACCAGATTTTAGACCTCATAAACAAGCATGAAGGCTGGTGTGCCTGAATTCTAAAAATCACAGCTTACTTTTCTCTTTCTTCTTTCCTCATCATCTAGATGCTTTTCTTTTTCCTTCTCTGACTTTTTCTTCTTTTTTTTCTTCTTTTCTTTATGTCGTTCTCGCTCATGATCCGATCTATCATCGTAGTAACTAGAGTCATGCCCTGACCCAGAGAGTTCAGTGACTTCACTGCCTCCAACTTTAAGAACCAGCTTTAAGGGTTTTTCCAAAGGCTTGTCCACATAATCTAAATTTAAAAAAATAATAATAATCAATAAATACACAGGGAGCAATTACAGAATCAGTCACACAGCAATTACAGAATCAGTCTCAATTAGGTCAGAAAAGACCACTGAGATCAAGTCCAATCTATAACCAAACACTACATGTCAACTAGACCATGGCACTGACTGTCACATTCAGTCTTTTCCTAAGCACCTCTAGGGACAGAAACTCCAGCACCTTTCTGGCACCCCATTCTAATACATAATCACCCTTTTTGTAAAGAAATTCTTTCCCAACGTCCATCCTGAAGCTCCCCTAGTGCATCTTGAGGCCATGTCCTCTCGTCCTGTGGCTGGTGGCCTGGGAGAAGAGACCGACCCCCACCTGGCTACACCCTCTTTTCAGGCAGCTGCAGAGTGACAAGGTCCCCCCGAGCCTCCTTTTCTCCAGGATAAACACCCCCAGCTCCAAAACTTCTTCTAGAACTACTGATTATAAGAATTCGCTGCAAAACAAAAATACACACAATACATTTGGAGAGAAAAACAAAAGCCAAGGCTAATAAGTCCAAGCTAGCAAACAGTCGTTCTGCACATCACGAATTGTAATGTTCCACAAACCTGCAAGACATTAGAAAACGGGTCTTCGGCCTCCCTTAAAACCGTCGCAAAGTCCTTGCAGAGCAACGTGAAATTAAGCATCACTCAAGCACCGCAGCGACGGAATCCCCTCAGGAGCGGCCGTGGGAAGCACGGAGACGCTCCGGCTCACACTGCACCGCCCGCCCCGCGTTCCTCGGGCCGCCCCCGCCGCCGGCAGCCTGCGCAGGGACGCCGGGCCCCGCCGACAGCCGCGCCGGGGGAAGGGACGGACGCGTCCCGGGTACAAAGAGGCCCCCCTAGTCCTTACCGCTGTAGGCGGTGGCGGAGGTCGAGCGCCATTCTGCCTTCTCGGCTTTGTGCTTCTTGTGTTTCTTCCCCATGGCGGAGCCGCAGCCGGCCCCGCCGGAAGCGCTGGGGCGGGCGGCCCCCCCCCGCTCGCCACGGAGGAAGATCCGGGTGAGTGGCCGGCCCTGCCTCGCCCAGCGCGCCCTTTACAAACAGCGGCTGCTGCAGTCGGTGCCTGGTGCCTCCGGCTCGCCCGCGCTCGCGATCCCTGTCGCCCCGGCGCGTCGCTGCCAAGGCCGTGCCTGCCTGAGGTGATTCCCTGTCCCCAACGCTGAGGCGGGAGCAGCCGCCCGCCCGTCCGTGCGCGCGACCGCCCTCGCGGCGTGTCCTGAGTCTGTCGTCGCCATCTCCTGAGGGAGGGAAGGTGCCGATCCTGATCCTCGTCCCGATCACGTACCTGGTCTTAGCGGGGGGCCGTGTGCACCTGGACGGGGCACCGGGAAAGGGCCGTCCGTGTCGTGGGCGCGTAGCAGTCGCTGGAAGTCGCTTCTCTTTGGTATCGCTTTTCCCCTAGGAGCGAGAAAGATGGAAGACGCTGCTGGAGATTTGAAGCAAGCTCTCCCAAACGTGTGTGACAGCGTTCAGATCCATGTGGAAGTTCACCAGAAGTCGAGCAGGTATCTGATCAAAGCGTTGCTTGCTGCCACTTGTGCCTGTTTCCTCTCGGCCTCGTTCTACGCATCTCCAAGAGCCCGCAGGACCCAGCTCTGCCTTCTCTGTGCTCTCCCGGGAGTTTCCTCACCTGTGTCTTTTCCTAAGATTGAACAAATACAGTTTGCTCAGTTTCACCTTGTGGGCCATGTCATCCAGTCTCATAATGAAGTTGTTGGCCACGTTATGGGTTTGCCCCAGTTTAGCCTTGTCTCTTTTGTGTCTGTGCTCACAACTGCTCACAGTACTCCAGATGTGGTCTTACAAAGCCAGTGGATGAAAACGCTTACTCTCCCTTACATCTGCAGTCTTGGTAGCACAGCCTCAAATAAGGTTGTCCTCATTTGTAGCAGGGGCACACTCGACTTATTGCCAGCTTGTCCACCCAGGACCCACGGGCCCTTTTCTGCAAAACAGCATGTCATTCAGTTGGCCTCTGGTCTTTTCTGTTATCTGGGCAGTGGGTGGAGAGCTGAGATTTCATTTTGCTGAACGTCAAAAGTTTCCAGTCAGACCGTATTTCCAGCCTGCAGAGGTCCCTCTGAACAGCAGCCCCCCCACTCCAGAATACTGAAAGTTCTTGCTTTGGTGATATCCATAAACTTGATGCAGTCACTTTCAATCCCATTGTCAAGGATGCAAAAACAGTGCTGGTCCCAATGCTAACAGCACCACACTGCCTCTCCCCACCCAAGTTACTGACAGGCTGCTTAATCTTTGTACTAATCACAGCCCTCTGAACTGGACAGTCCAACCCTCCTTGTCTATTTATCCAGTTCTTTTGTTAAGGTTTTGGATGTCTGAAGGATATGGGAGAGCATGTCCAAGACATTAGAAAAATCAAAGAGTAAAATACACACTGTGCTATTTTTGCCAGGCTTAACAAAGAACTGAAAATTTGCATTTGAATGAGTGAAATTGCAAAATTAAGTTAAATCTTCAAATGGTATTCCTGTTCCTGTAGTTTTTGTCTCTTCTGGAATTCTCCCTATATTGTGTCCCCATCCTGATGTTTCAGCTGTCCTGAAAGTATAATGGAGCTTTCAAGCTAAGCTTACCAAATTCAGTCTGTAGCTTAGCTCCGAGTCTTTCTGGGTTTCTTGCTGAAACACAGATTGCATAACTGCTTTCCATTCTTGAAGTCTTCTAGCTGTCTCATTCAGTATCCCCTGATATAACCTCAAACAGAGCAAATGATACTATTTGGATTATGTCTTTTAATGCACAAATTAAAAACAACTGTCCAACTTGTTGCTTTTTCAGACAGACTGAATCTGACAGGTTCTTTTCTCCTGTAGAATGCTGGAAGACAATTGAGTGGGTTTGGGATTTTTTTGTGTTAGTTGTTTTTTTAGGATTGGGGGTTTTGTTGGTTGGTTGGTTGTTTGGTTGGGTTTTTTGGTGTGTGCAAGATAGAAGCTATTTTCCGTGAAAGCCTCATGTATGAAATAATGCTTTTCAACGCTAATTCAAATTGCCTTATAAATGTCAATGCCATAAATTAATGATGTTTCTTTCTTGTTAGTGTGGCCAAGAAAGAAGATATTAGGATGAGTGTCTTAAAGCTGTTGAACAGACACAACATCATATTTGGTGATTACAAGTGGACAGAATTTGACGACCCTTTCCTTAACAACAATGTGCAGTCTGTGGCAATTGTGGATACAGACCTGAAACTGAAGGACAGACAGGTATTCCTGGTCAAGAACGTGCACCTCTGTTTATGTGCCCCTGAACTAGTTGTAGTGGTACCCTAAGGGCAGAAGCAAGACAAGGTCTGTAGAATGATGTAGTATCTCTTCTTAGGCTGACTAGTATAACTAGGAAAAGGTGGCTATTTTTTTTTTTTTACTAAATGTTTATTAAGGTCTGAAACAGAGGTAGTAGGCTTCAGAGATAAATGCCAGCTGAGGACTGTAACTTTCTTTTGTTCAACTAGCTTTGAATGAGAAATATGACAGGTAACAAATCTTTTTATGTTCATTCTAGCCTATTGACCTGAGCACAAGCAGTCTTTCTCTTCATGTTTTTCATCTGAATGAAGAAGGACCAACCTCGGAAAACCTGGAAGAAGAGAATGATGATATCACTGCAGCTCACCACTGGGTGCTACCAGCAGGTACCTGTGTGGCATTTCTGGGAGCTCTAGAGCAATAAAGAAAATATTGCAAAGGCTAAAAGTGTTTATAGTTACCTATAAAGGTACTATTTGTATTTATTGTTTGTCTATATAAAAAATATGTTTGGGCTTTTTTCTTTATGGAACAAATATATTTGGACTTTTTCCTTTGTGACGTGCTGCAGATGATTCCAAAACACATCCTTTATTTCTGTAATACTTGTGGATATGTGAAAATAACTGGTCTTGTTGTCTAAAACATGTAGTCATAATCAGAAGCATGCAAGTTTTTAACATTGGTGATTGCATTCCAAGTTTTTTTTAACTTGAAGATCCACAAGAAGCTTATCACTTTCAATGTTCATTTTCCAGAGCTCACTGCTGGCTTCCAGCCCCCATGACAGTACTGCTTTTATACATGAAACAGACAAACAAAGTAAAGAGATTTAGTCTTTATCTTCTGGAGAGGAAAAATCAGGCTTTTCTCTGTGATAGAGCCAGACCTGCCTGTTACTGTCCTGTGCTTGGGGAAGTTTGATTCTCTGCCTGAAAGGAAAAGCAAAAGTGTGAGCTTTAGCTCAGAGAGACAGTAATTTTGAAACATTTCCTATTCTTTCCATGTTGTGAAATGCCTAATTATTCATTAAATTAGTTTTCAGGAAGAATTAAAACCGACATATTGACATTATTGTCGTGGCGCACTAAAATCAGGGTGATCCGGCTCAGCGACAACAGAGGTGCAACAGACCCCCCCTTTCAAGCTCTGCAGAATCCCAGCTACCAGTAGAGGTTCAGCACAGGAACAAAAAGACAGCAGCACGGGTCCAGGGGTCGAGCTGGGGTGGCTTTATTTGGTGGTGATTTCCCTTGAGTTCCGGACTCCAAACAGACAAGACCTTGACTCGCGGTTAACATGAATTTTTTTAACATTTGTCGGGAGGAGGGGTTTAGGGTAGCAAACCAACAGTGATATGGTTGGGGAGGGGTCTGAGGTGGGGTAATTCGTACTTAGACCAATGAAAGAACACTAGGGAAGGGAATAACTTGGGTTCTAAACAATGGGGTTCTAAAGGATACAAAAGTGACAAAGAATTTACTAGAAGAGAGGGTGGGTTCGGGGGAGGATTGACACCTAGGGGGAGGAGGAGTAAGGAAGGTTCTGGGGAAAAGAGTAGGGATAGGAGGGATTGACAGCTGGGAAGGGGAGGCGTTTGAAACTTGGCAAGGAGTGGCTGGGTAACAAACGTAAGGACTGACACAACCAAACTGAATAACAGTGAGGGAGCAAGTCTAAATTTAGAAACATGAGATGCAAAATGGGAAACCTGTGCCACTCCACAGGCAAGGTCAGGACAACACAAAGGTATTGTAAAATCACAAATTAGATAGTGACCATGCCAATAAAAACTAAAGAAAACACACTGCAGCAATTATTGCCCCAATTTTGTGGTTTATAGTTGTTCAGGCTTTTATGCTTTTCTTTGCTGAAAGTTAGAAGCCAACGGCTTCTAACGGAATGATTGATACTCAAATGACAACTTTAGGCTTTTATGCATTGTTCAGCTATATGGTTTTTTTTACATCTTGATGTTAAAAAAAAAGGCAAACTTGAATGATAAAATTTGCCCTAGAACCCTCCTCCTACCACTAGTTTTCATTGCTTCCTTGGTGAAATGTAAGTTCATCCTCTACTGAGAATGGAAGGAACGATATTTTTCATTTCATGTTAATAAATTAACATTAATTTCTTGTCACAGATATTGGAGGAAATAGAAGCTGGGTAACTGCTGAATTTGTGTGTAGAAAGTGGTCTTTGCATTTTGGGAAAAATAAGTTGAAAAACTTTTTTTTCCCCCACAGATGCTTTACTTGCTTTCATATATGTGTTCTTAATTCTTCATTTTAGTTGAGCATAATTTGAAAACTGTTTTGTGCTGCAATGATGAGTTACAGGTTTCCAGATTGATTTATACTAAACAGGTATATAATATATTGCTTTTGCAGCTGAATTCCATGGTCTTTGGGAAAGTCTTATCTATGACACTGAAGTAAAATCAAATGTAAGTTGGAAATGAATAACAATTAAAATTGCTTGAGGAGAAGTAAGAGCTGAAATTAAACCTGTTTGAAGTTTGCTGCATCCTATGGAGATATGGGTGCAGGCTGGGCAGAAGGGAATGGGAGTGTAACTTTTGACCCTGGAAAGGGGGCTATTTACAGACTACAAACGAGACGGGGCTGCTGGGAAAGTGCTTCAAGCTGTTTATTTTTCAGCATCAGTCTCATTACATGATTATGATAATGGGAAGATGCTAGCGGCTCACA